GGAATGCCAGATTCACAGCTGTAGGTTTGTGAGGACAGAGTATGGAGACAGCAGTGATAACTCCCAACGTTCCCTCGGATCCAATGAAAAGCTGCTTCAAATCATAGCCAGTGTTATCTTTGCGCAGAGACGCCAAGCAGTCCAGAGTTGAGCCATCAGCCAGCACCTGTGGGAACATAGAGACACAGTCAAAGCACCTTTGTAGAAATCTGCTGTCATAAGCTTGTATACTACTAAGCTGAGGAAAAACTGCCACTAGCCTTGAGCAGTAGACACCAGCTGCAGCCCATTCCCAGTCTCGTCATTGTTCCCCCATCCTCAGCTATTCCTCCACTCTATATCCTACCTGAGGCTTCCCCCAAACTTTTCTGTTCCTTTTTTTACAGCGATGTTTGCACATGTTCCAGTAGGACAACTAAAAACAGAAGATCAAGTTTGCTCTGCTTTTCTTACCAGTGGTGGTGAAGATCAGGCATTCTTTGCAGCCCTAGCTCCCATTATTCAACAGAAACACAGAATACTACTTGAACAGTGAACACAAGTTAATGAGAAAGAAGTAATTCCTTCATGCTCAAGCCTTAAATTTAGGCTGAAAGTCTCTAAAGACATGTTATTAAAGGCTGTTTTGAAACTAGAGGGACTAACCTGAGAGACAAAAGCTCTCCTTTCTGGGCCTATTCAATAAAACCAAATCAGGCTTTTGTGACGCACTCAATTTATTTTCTATTAGCTCCCAGGCCCTGAAATCTTTTAGAACTACTAATATCAGCTTTTACACACAGAGGCACAGGTCTGTCGGGCAGAAGCAGGCTGAGGAACTGCAAAGACTCTAGGAGAAAGCCAGCAGCCAAACAAAGCCAAGGCAGACAGTTCTGTTAGGAATGAGCAGTTGAGTGCTGTAGGATGGATTTAGCAGAGAGTTCCAGAGACCCACCACTCCACAGAGAAATCAACCTTATGCAGGTAACTTGGGATCACAAAATCGCTCCCTACCTTCTCTTCACTTCTCTAGATTAGAAAACCACCTAATATCACTTCTGTCAGCAAGGACAGAGGCGGAAGCTGGAAACTGCGGTAGCAATAACAGATGCTACACCCATACAGACATTCATTGACCTTTCTTAAAAGAGCCATACAACGAAAAGTTAAGAGTGGAAGCCTTGAGAGGAACTTGTCTGCATAATGGATATCTAAGGCCTAGAACAGCAGGAAACAGCAAAAAGTAGAGGTTTAAACACAGAAAGGAACTGCCAAGTACTCGCCTTACCACTTCCAGTCCTAGCACTGTCCCTCGGAGAGAACCATATCTCAAGAGCCGTAAACCTCCAGCATTTGTGGCAACATTACCACCGATGTGACAGCTACCTTTCGCTCCCAAGTCAAGTGGCATGATAAACGCCTGCTCCTCCAAGTACTTGTTGAGTTTCTCTAAGATGCAGCCAGCTTGGCACACAAGGATTCCTGAAATATAAATGTCCTGCTACAAGCTTATGTCCAAGAAAAAGATGCCTCCTCTAGAGGAGGGATAAGTACAAGGAGATGCAACCACCTCTTCTTCAATAACTTTCTGGGATCCAGTTTAAATGAAAAAGAACTCTGTGCATGCTACAGGGCACTGCCCTATCCCTCCTCAAGCTTAGTGGAGCTTTGCCATTGCCTTAAGAACTGGCCATCCACAACTCTGGACTAGTAAAACACAATGAGCACTGCCTGTTGTTCTCTCTCTCTTGGAGAAATGAAATACTCAAACCAATCCTACTCCTAACTCTTCAAATACAAACAATGTGTAATTTTTTCCTACTCCTCCCTTCCCTCCACTAGTGTAGGTGCATTCTTCAACACTGTCATTCTGCTCCACCTGCTGGGTTTCTCATTTAATTTATGAATAGGAAATAGGCTGTCCATGTTTCTCTTCTCTCTCTCCTCCTCTCTCTGCCACCAGTGTATTTTTATATCTGTTGCATGTTATTAACTAAGGATTACATCAGCAGCAGGAGCCTGGATAAAACGAACCTCTTGTGCCCCCTAGGATGCTGCTGGGCTGAACCTTGCTGATCCAGCCATTATTGGTTCCCAGAAAAAATGACAGTTCAGGGCCTGGGGCACATTTCTGTGCCTCATGTCTCTATAATATTTACCAGACACCTTGTCAAAGCTGATGATCCGGTTCATGAGAACAGTGGAGAGAATGATTTCATCAAAGACAGGAACACTGCCCCCAACAAGGCCTGTGTTACCCCCCTGTGGATTCACTGCCAGGTTCCTCTCATAGCAGTACCTAGAAGGAAAAAGGTTTCTGAAGTCTTACGCATTTTAAGGCCATAATCCAGACTACCAGCATAGTTTTACCTCCACATGAATGTGTACTGTTAGCAAAAGCAAGACAGTACAAATCCTTACTAAACTCACCCCAGCACTAAATAAATGAACAAACACTTGGGGTTAACTCCATGCACATCTACGGATCTGCCATGCAACACCTGCCTGGAAGCTTATACGTAAGCTGTTTATGTAGCAGTCTCTGTTAACAACTTGGCTTCCTCAGTGGGCTCTGACAGACAAACTCTGGCAGTGGTTTAAGACATTACCGCCCTCCTCTTAATCAACTATTGCCCTGTAGGCAATGAAGCACATGCCTCAGCTGCTTCACCTTCCAGCCTGCCATATCCCTGCAAAGCACCACCTATCACACATCCTCTTCAAATTCACACAAGTTCTTGTACAGTGGATGGTACAAAGCTGCACTGCTCCAGCAGTTACTTCAGAAGCACAGACTTTACTGTGCTCTATACATCTGTTTTAACAGAGCTAAGAGCAGGTTCATGCAGTTTTTATGCAATCCTGCATACTGATGCCCAGCTGGGGCAGTGAACCAGGAAAGTTGTTACTGATTTAGGGGACAAAAACATCAGCTCCCCAAACTAGCTTAATCTGGCCTAATCATCTTTACCTTATCAAGTCTTTCTCAAATCCTTCCAACACAACTGCTCCTCTTGAGCATCGGTACAGTGTCTAATTCTGACAAACTGAACGAATACTGAATCCACTTGCTTCTCTCTCTTCCCTTTATTTCTCTCCTCCATACTAAGCACTCTGAAGATATTTCTACTTAAAGCCATTCTTTGAGGGGTCTGCTGCTGCCCTCTTAGCCTGTGCGATGACACCTGGCCAGGAAAGATCACAAATGAAAGTTCGGCTTTTGTTTCTGCCTAACACCGACAGGACATCACCACCCCAGAAAAAGCTGAAGGCCATGGAAAGCAGTGAGTCTGGGAAATACAAGGCACAGGTGGAAGTCCCTTTCTGTCTTGAACAATTTCTACTCCTTAAGTAAAAATATTCCTAATTAGGAACCTGTAGGTTTTTTAGATGAGAGACACTGCCTACCCACTGTATAATCCCAGTCTAGCAACAGCATACAGTGTCTTCTGTCCTGGGAGCAGCTGGAACAAAAGGCATGTCAGTAAACAGTCAGGAGTCCAAGCGCAGTGGGGATATAAAGAACAGATCACTGCAGCTGAACCACAAGACATGCAGTCAAGAAGAAAACAGATTCAGCAATTCCAGTGCTTGTGAAATTAGTGACTGAACATCTAAAAGCTCCATCCACCTGCCAGATCCTCCCCTGACTACACCTTTCCTCACCACAAAACCCAGCAGAAAAGGGGCACGTTACCTGAGAACTTGAGACACCTCTGCTGTTGTCTGTGGCTTCAACATCAGCTTGCTACAGCCTGCAACGAAAACAAGAAATTCTCAAGGCGAGTTGTTGGTTCTGCAGAGGTCAGAAAGAAAAAGGTGGTAATGCATGACATTTGAAATAATAACTCTTCCTCCACTGTGCAGCAGAGGCATTTTAAACACTTTTAAAACAAACATTTTCAATAGTAGGTTTTTCCTTAAAGCATTGGAAAAACTGCACATATATGTAGACTTGGTTGCCAGGGGGGGGTGTGTGGGGTGTGTGTGTAACGGAAAAAGTTTTGTATTCTGAAATCTCTGACAAAAGCAACAGAATATTCACAACACCTGTTTTCCGAAGCTCAGCCAAAACTGCAAACAGAATCAATTTGCTTCAGGAAAAAAGGAACTGTAAGTTAACAGGTCTTAGATTTTTTTTTTAAAAATAAATCCTGAAAGATTACCAGATATTAGATAATTTCCAAAGAAATATTTTCACTGAGAAAAACTAATTTTGGTCTTTAAAAATATGGTCTGCTATAAACAAAGGTGAGATTTTCTTTGGCAGACCTTACATTCTGGTATGTTAACAGCGGCAGAGAGGAGGTTTTGCCAAAATAAAAAAAAATAAAGAAGCTCACATACCCCGGACTGAATTAAGCCAGTCCACATTAAATGGTTTCAACTCCTCCGGATTTGTTATGACTCTACCCGGCATCATGCGCTCAAAGAAAGCCACATCGCCGTCAGACACCC